AGGGTGACTGGATCGTTGCGGGCTCTGTATCGTCTGAGGAACTTTCTTCCGTCCTCTGTGAAGACGCAGCTTGTGCAGACCTTGATTTTCCCGATTATTGATTACGCTGATGTCTGTTACTACGACCTGAATGCAGATCTACTCAACAAGTTAGACCGACTTCTAAATAACTGCATTCGATTCGTTTTCAACTTACGTAAATATGATCACATTTCTGCACATAGGATGCAACTGAAGTGGCTGCCCATACGCTTGCGCAGGCAGCAGAGGGCACTAACCACTTTATTCTCTTATCTTGACTCTCCTTCTTCACCTACTTACCTTGCTTCTTACTTCCAATATACGTGCGCAAACCACACAAAATTTCTTCGTTCGTCTCAAAATCGACATCTTCAATGTATCTCTCATCGCACTGACTTCTTTCATTCTTCCTTTTTCATTCAAGCTGTTATTTTGTGGAATGCATTGCCCAAGGAGATCAGAATGGCAACAAGTCGCAATTCCTTTAAATTTAAAGTCCGTGAGCATTTACTTAAGCATTGGCAGACTCAAAACAATTGAGGAAACTATTCTGACGTTTTTTTTTTTTTTATATACATATATAATATATTGTAGTATTTATGCAGTAGGTATAAGTATTTGTTTAGTAGTATGTATTATATGGTATGTATATGTCCTATACTGATTTATAAAATATTATATTAATATATTTATTCTATAGGTAATTTATGTGTGTAGTATACATATTGCATAACTCTTTTTTATTTTCTCAATTGTGTTCTGGCTTCGCATCAACCACTTCATTTCTCTGCACTTCCCTATGGTTGACTGTAAGAGAATGCCTTAAGGCATTAAGTCCGCCATTCACTTATGTATTTTGTGAAGAAGAAATAAATAAATAAATAAATAAATATAAGGGTCTTGCGGTTGTTAGGGGCGGCCACAGTAAATCACATCTTGTGTAAGCGACTGTTAATACACACTGATGCGACGGAACAAAATACCAAATCTCCAGGAGGTTGCTTACTGCGACAGTATCGTGGATGGGCGCGTGACACGGGTCGTCGCAGACGTACTTAAGCTCAGCCATCACTTGGCAACACAGTAACACGCTGCGTCAGCCACTGAATTATTCATCGCTATACACAAAATCACTTTTTAAGTTGTACCCTCAGAACTGAATGTGTGTACAAATTAGCTAATTGATAAGACGTATGTGATACTCAATGCTAGTGTGCTGAAATGTAACTGATAAAAAAACTGCAAAAAGATAAGTTTCATAAAAGCGTCAGAATACATAATTTATTTTGATAAACATTTTACAGTCATGCTGATTTTACAAAAACATGTTTCATTTTGTTGTCGACGTTTGCAAACTTTCTATTTATGTACGGGCACACACCGTCCGTACGTTCACTGGAACTAATTAACAATTCTCAACGAAATATTCGATAGCGGACGTAGCAACCAGGTCGAACTGAATGTTCCACTCAACGCGGAAATTGTGAAAACAGGGAAAATACAATCCGAGCTAAAGACAGGTCACGTCATCCACTGAGCTGAGGCCGTCACTCAACCGATATCAGAGGGTTTCAACTTCACGATTTATTTTTGTATAGGTAGTAACTTAAAAGGCCGAGGTACGTTTATATTTTGAACACGAAATGAAAATGTAGCAATCAATGTCACACTCAAAGAGTTCGGCATCAAACAAAGAAGTATCTCGAGTCACGTTCTTCTTGTTATATTGTCAGAAGATCGTCGTCTTCGTCCTTTATATCCAAACAAGTAATGCAAATACAACGCTATTTTCTAAGATGCTAAAGCATGTCGTGATTGGTAGGTGTCCACAAAATGTACGACATGAGCGTGATATGAATCGAACAGACGGCATTCAATCTTTTACAAATTATTGTCCAACTACATATTAATCGGGTTCTAAAAACAGGGCTAACTCGAAGCAATGAAGTCACTAGTCGTACTCAATAAAAGCCAAGCAAGTACTTAATATGTACATGTTTATTTTATGTGCTCGTCGTTGTGCAAAACTATGAAAACAAATGTTTTTCAGTGAAAGAAAATGACGGCTAATAAAGGTTTACGTGGAATTTTGTGCTTTATTAATTTTGAATGGCATGAAGTATGCCTACCTTCTATCAATCTTGTGAGGTAACCTTTCGTGGACTGAGCATTGTAATGAAGGTTTAGGTTAGGTCAGTGAATGCCTTAGCTAGTTAGGTGCTACATTATCTGTGACGGCGTGAATGTCAAGTTCTTGGTGCTATTGTGTTTGTTAGTATAATGTCGCCGTGATATTTTTAGTGTTGTCTTTTGAGTCAGGGCTGGCCATTATGGTCTGTTGTCGTAGAGGTTACGTTGTGCCACCTTCACAAGTTGTGGGTGACCTTTCATCAATAAAGAAAAACCAAAATGATAAAATGTTTGTGTGATCTTGGAGTTTGTTGTGTATACTAGGAACATTCCCTTTAAGTACAAATGACGTGGATTATCCAATGATGTCGGCGAAGCTTGAAATGAGTGTCAGTTTCAGCCTTTGTACTTCCATCACAGTAAGTGCTCAAAGGAAATAAAGTTTAAACCGCTCTATACGTCCTTTTTAGTCGTTGGCTTACTCGTATATTATTTTATGTACACTTCAAGTATTACACGAACATAAAAGGGAGCAAGCATAGAGAGTAATGTTTACTTTCAGTACTTTAAAAGCTGTATTAAGTTTTATTTAACATTTTTTTAACTGAGAGAACCTGTCAAAATATTTCTTTTTTGTTTTTGATACGCCGTCGGGGCTTAACATTGCTTGCTTTTACTGGAAAATAAAAGCTTCTGGAAATAGAGGGTTCATCCTCTGTTTCGATGAAATAGCTTAGTACTAGTTAGGATAGTTAAAGCCAGGGAAACTAATCAAGCAAACTTTTTGTTACTACCACTGGTTTCACGTTATACGTAACAAGGTATTATATCACATGCTATTCTTAAAAAAATCTGTTACAAAGTATTTGCAAAATAATAATAAAAAAAAATATTTGTAGATACTTAATCGCAAAAAAATCATTATCTATTTTGCTGTATTTAATAATATAACCACTTTTCATTGGTTACATTACAATTCCCGTCGTAAAATCCTAAGTATTCCTTAAAAGAATAACGTAAGTAATTCTTTTTCTGTAGATATGTATCAGGTAATTTATAAATGTATTTTTTTAAACGTAATTTTAATATTTTTTCTGAAAATGTAACATGATGTAGCTCTGTTTGAAAATGTAAATGGAGTTGCATAGAAATATGTATATCGTAGACAGTTAGTTGCAGTATGTTTCTACAACAAGTTGGCTCGGCGTCTGCCAACAATACGGCCATGTTCCCCGATATAACACCAAGTCACAACAATGGCGACGACGTCAGCTAACTTACTGAACGTTGTTTATTTATGTTAAAAGATAGTGGCTACAGTAAATACCAAAACTGACGTTAAAGCTATGTAGAATCTAATATGTAGGAAAAGTATTTATTAAGTCCTACCTTTTAAATAACAGCTTTTTTTGTGTTTCTTTTTTAACATATTTTTTTATCAATTGAAACCTATTTACTATATAACATGCATACAAATAAAACTATACAAATAAAAAAATAAAACTGACTATATTTGCCAAAAATACTGGTAAAATGACAATAAATATTAAAAATTAAATTACTTATTTTATTTTTATATGTCTTCAATTTTTATAAGCCAGGAATAAAAATATTACTGCACGGAGTCTGGAAATGTGTCCGGTATATGGCAAAAGGCTCACCCCCTATTACATGGGACTCATAACATAAATAGTGAAAAGTGGGTTTTACATTGTAGAGGTATAGTGGCATTAAGTGCCGTAATGTGCACCTCTGTCTACCCCTTCGGGAATAAAAGGCGTGATGTTATGTCATGTTATGATTGTATAAAAATAAAGAAAACCTTAAAAATCGGTTTTAACTCGCATCATTCATTATATTAAAAAAAAAAAAATGAAAAACGTTTAAAATGAAACCTCTTTAAATGAAATAAAAAAAAACCCACCTGAAGAGGTTAAAACTGGTTGTTATTGACTAAAATATTGTTAGAATGCCATTAAGATTTATTCTTAATTTTCTTTTTCTATTATTTATATGGGTGACATTTATTCATTTTTAAATTCAGCCTGTTAAAATATAAATGTTTAGATTTAAACCTTTTTGGAAATATAGCGAAAATTAAGAAAACTATTTATATGTATTTTTTTAGAAGGTAAACAATTTTATAATAATTATAGTGGGACAAACCTTTTATTACTGGTTTATTCTAAGTATGTATTGGTTTGGCGTGTTAAATAAATTAAGTTAGTTTTAATACGGTAATTATGTTACTTTCTTTGAACGTTACGTTCTTTGAATAACGCACTAAAGGGAAAAAAGTAATTACCTATTTACGGCAGCGTTCAAGATTACTACGCCACCACACCGTAGCGACTTTCACAGTGGCCATAACTGGGTAGCCATTGTCATCGCATAACCTTATGTTTGATGAAGGTGTATGGTGCTACAATATTACCAAGTTCAGTTTCTAAACTTTTCAAAAAACAAAATATTATTAGGCTTCTTATATTGATATCCTCATCAAAGTAGGTCCCGTCAGACAATACGGGAAAATCATTCCACAAGGCGTTGTCCGAGTATTGGTCGCTTACTTACTAATTTCTTATTAACCGCTTGAATGCACTGATGTTGACACAATTAGAATTACATTGTGTCTCGCGTGGATCCATGTTTAGACACACGATGGGTTAATGCAATCTAAACTTTATTAATTAGTCAACAGAATTTATATTCTAGGAGTACCAAACCGCTGCATGGTCGCAGGTATAAACAAGCCGTAATTTAAGAAAGAAATAATGACAATTGATATTTCATGGGTTCCTTTTTGACCATCAAAGTTTATTTAGGAATTTTATGTTTGTTTGTTACAGGCCCCGCACCGGCGTGGTAGGCGTACTACTGAGGGTCGCGCGCCCTCTCCTGTGACTAGCCAGAGCTCTAGCGCACGGCACGGGCGGCGGATTGTAAGCAAACGTTCATTCTTACCATCTTTAGCGTAGCCAAACATTTCAATATTTTTAAAGAATATAACATGTATCTAATTTATACGGATAGGCAGTGTAAGTTGTATTTAGGTCTGGATGTTGTTGAACGACTAATGAACCTATTACTGAATGTACTATTAATAAGACACAAACTTATCAACAATTGGTATGAACAGAACCTAGGGTAGTTACCCTCAATACGTATACCCTACTACAGGAGACTCGGGAAATCTTTATACCCACAAAATAAGAAGTAAACAGTCTCAGCTCGATATTTTCATTTAATTGGACGATCTAGTCCGCATTTCAAATGCAAATACAGAGAATTAAAAAAACTCTTTAGTGACGGTTGTTGATTCGAAGTTTTTTAAACTGTATTTCAGCGCTTAGTAGTGTTGACCTTCGCGAATTTTGCAGTGCGCAGTGCAGGCAACCGCTTGAGACGTACTGAAAATGCCTATGTGATATGTTATAAGAACATTTATGGTACCTGACTTAAACCCAAGCCTATTGCTGATGCATTGTCGTCTCAGGAAAGGCATTGACAGTAAGTTACTTGATCATCATTAGTCAGGTTGTTAATGAGTGTGTGGTTGTGTTGACAGAGGCGTGGGGCGCGGCGCGTGGCGGCGGCGCGGGCGCGGGCGGCGCCATGACGCGGCGCCCGCCACCATGACGCTGCCGCCGCCCGCGCGCCCCGCGCACCCCGCCGCGCACCGCGCAATGCGCTATTACCGCATCTGGATCTACGCGTGCAACGGCGCGCTGTTGCTAGGGGCGCTCGCATTCTGCGCGGCAGCGGGGCGCGCGCTCTCTGACTACCGGCGCGCGCTAGTGCCAGGCCTCGGCGTGGCTCAGCCAGGCTTCCTCTACGGATACGCGGCGCTGCCCGCGCAGGCGGGGCTGCTGCAGCTCCTCGGTTGTCTAGCGGCATTAAGACTCTCTGAACGAATGCTGAATGCCTATTGGTTGGCACTTTTAGCACTGCTTGTTGGGGACGCCGCAATAGGTGTTTACTGGGCGTTCAGGTTTGAACGAGTTTGCCGCGAGCTTCGGCCTCAATTACGGCTTCGTCTCGCAAAAGATTACGACACGGATATTGACTTCTCACAAGCTTGGGACCGCCTACAGAGAGAACAGCGGTGTTGCGGTGTCACAGGGCCGGCAGACTTCGCGGCTTTCAATAGAACTACTCTCCCGGCGAGTTGTTGTCGTATCCCAGCGCACACGACTTCAGTCACGCCGGCTCTACTGGCCGTCACATCTGCCACTTCCCCGGCGCCGTTCACTCCCGTACATTGTGCGCCGCACACAGCCGCCTGCTCAGAGAGACTACTAGTTTGGCTTCGACGAACTGCCGACGCGTTGTTCGTATTAGGATATTGTGTTATAGCATTTTTAAAATTGTGCTTCCTTGGAATCCTCCGATACGAAATAAAGGAGATGATTCAAAAAATTAGAATTTTACGAAGCGAGTTGGGAGCAGGTGAATTACTCGACGGTAGTCCTATCCATGGCGGACCATTATCACAAACGATAATAGTGAATGCTGTCAATGCAAACGGCGGAGTGCGAGCTCATGGTGGTAGCCCTGAACGCGCGGGAGAGCGCGAGGCACTACTGGGGCGAGCGTCAGAGCCGTGCCCGCGGCGGAGCATACACGACGAACCGTTAGGTCCCAAGACGATAAATGGAAACAACAACTGTGAGATGCGGGAGCTGGCTCGAGGTGACTACAGGCCACTGGCGGCAGACAGTGCAGCGACTCGGATCTGACTAAGATGTTACTTGGAGCGGCTGTTCGGGCGGCGCTGGCGCTCGTTCCCGGCGGCGGGCTGCGAGCTGGAGCCGCCGCTGGGCCGCGTGCCGCCCGGCTGCGTGCGCCGTCCCGCGGGCGCGCGCGTGCGGCTCGACCACCGCCGTCACACCCGCTCCGAATTTGAGTTGTAAGTTAAAGCCTACGACACGATAAGTCGTTGCATTACGTCGTGACTATCGTATTTGTTGGCGCAGTCAATTGTGAGTACCGATGTTATCGGTAGGACTAAATTGTATTATGTTTATAGTGGTAGCGTTGTAAACTGACCCAACGATGCAAGTGAGTGTAAGTGATGACGTTCCGAACATTTTGGACTTGTGAGACATGAACTGAACATGGTGAACATTATGAACGTGCATCGGAAGAGAATTATTGTGTAATTTAGACAAAGTGAATCAATTTTCGAGCAAAGCTTGTGTTATGTTCCTAAATTTGGCCGTTAATTATATTCGTTTTGTAGGTGCATAGGACACACCGATGTTTTACTTTACGGTCCCTAGGAAGATAGATAGATACTCGAGGTATCGTGACATCGTGACGCGTACAGCATGTGAGGAAATGCAGTCTCCGGGCAAACAATATGACGCATACTATAGCTACTAGGAGAGCGCAGTAAATCCATCCTACAAATATTGTATCTGTATACTCGACTACGATTTTAATATTTATAGCAGTAAAATAACGGGAATCAACCAATATAAGATTAATTATGATGATTGTTTAGCACTAAGACATAACAGTTTTTGATTGTATACCAATAGATTTATGGACATAATTATTATAATATGTATTTTACAAATTTTCATGTCATTTTACTCATTATCTTCAATTAAAATTGTATGTATTTGTTAAATATATTGCCATAGTGTGTAATACCAATGACAACGCGTTCAGTTTAGTGGTTTTTGCCCGCATGCTCATAGTTACCACTGAGCATGGCGATAAATTAGATATAAATATACCTACTTATTAAATTATAGATTTATCATTTGATTTGGTAGCTGAATATAGAGTCGGCAAAAACTTCTTCTCTTGAATGCTTGTCATACATTTTGATATACCTATTCGTAATGGATTGTAAATCGAAAGGTTCGCTTGCACGGAACTTGTACCTACGCTGTCACTTGAGTTATTTTCCTTAGGTCGTAACATTTGTATAATAGAAGTGTTAGTTTATTCTAAGTATGTCTACCTGTTCATCCCTTGCACGACTACCCCGACTAGTTGAGTTCAGTCCGCTTTCCTTACATGAGTCGGACAAGCGTGAGCCGCGACCTTCCTCGCTCATCGTCTATTTATCTAGTTCTCATAATCATACCTAATGTTGTCGGTAAATGTAAATAATAAACAAAATTTGTACATGTGTAGTATGCGAGTAATTGTGCATGGACAGATTGACAAAATACATAGTACTGATATGAGCTTAAACGACGTAGTGCCTACAATTATATGCTTGTAAACAGTATAAAGTGAACGAATACACTGTTAATGACATTTTAGTTTACGGCAGAAGAATTTAAAATGTTTCGTAAGTACCACATTTTATGATTGTCTTGACAGAATACAGACGTTTTGCTAAAAGTTTAAAGAGATCGCGCTATGAGTCTAGACTGCGCATAAAATATTACAATAATCTCATGGTGTAAGGAATTAGGTAAATTTATTAATGGCTGTGTCAAATATAGGTAAAACCTATCGACGGCGTGTGTAGGAGTCACGATCCGATAGCTGCCGTGCACGGTGGAGCGAGTCTGAGCGGCCCGACCTGCGTTCGACGGTTCGACCACGTTACACGTACCTACATTCATACATATTTGTACTTTTACGAACTAACTTTATAGATATATTGTAATGACGAGTACGAAGTTATGTTCGCTTAGAGTAGGTATAATATTTTGTGAATTTATGCAGAAACATAGTTTTTTAATATTGTTGTCACATGAATGTACCAATCTTATAAAAATTTGTACCTATATTCGGAAAGTTGAATAATTTGTAGCTAGGATCCAATCTAAATCCTGCATTTCTTCCAAAAAACGGTAAAAATAACATGTGCCTTGGCTTATAAAATGTATAACTGACGTTATGTTTATTGTAAATTAATGAATATAAAGTAAACACGAGCTCGTGTCTGATGTGCTGCCTACACCTTCCGACATACTCGTTCGTACGTACACTGTACTCGGGCTGTACTCTCGATTCTCTTACTACGTCTTGTTGTTTAACTCGAACGCTCACTTCAACTCAACGTTTCCTTGTTTCACTCTCTGCTAAGTTTGTTATTGTTTAGTTACTAGATTTTTTCTATTTACAAGTATACACATAGAATAATTAAATACACAAATGTACAGAAAACGTAAATGTCTACGAATAAAGTATCAATTTATTATTGTGTGAGATCTGTTCCGATGGGATCTGGGTATTAATATTAACATATGAATGGTGTACACTGTACGTAATCTTTTGAATTCTCTACTGTCACTATGTTTTGAATGTTTTCCTCGTTCAGTGTGTTTCATTATTATAGTAGAGTTGTTACAACTTTCCGAAGGTACGCACTAGGCGACTGAGAGCTAATATTATCATAATAAATGCATTAAATAAAGAGTTTGTTAAAATGTTGCGGTTTTTTATTTAATTACTTACTATATAATGACTATGACTATACACATACAGTATGAACATCATAAAAATTACAGTTTTCTAATACTTACTTCAAATCGAATTCATTTTCTTATGAATACAGGAGTATAATGTCTAGTTGTTACTCTCGACGACTTCAATATGTACGAAGTTACCAAATTGAACATAGTTTTAGCATGCAGGTGAGGTAATCATAGACTTACCTGCACGCCATCTTCCTTTAACCTATAAACGCGGTCGACGTTCGCTCCGCCGATCACCAACACATCACCCCCGCACTCCTTGTCTCCAGAGAACAAAGGATTCTCATCAGCCCGTCTGCTGCACGAAGTGTGAAAATGTCTCGAAGAATTGGACGTACATTTCCCAGCGCCCTTCGACAATCCAATATTAAACGCATTCTTAGAATCGTCAACGTTCTTGAGTTTTTTAAATTCGACTGCGATATCGGCACCGACTTTCGCGTTGTTCTTTATTAAAGCGATATCTGTGAACTGCTCAAGAAATATATTGTGGCAATTAGCTTTACTGCTATCATTTATAGAGTGATATTTCAGTATTTGTATACGTTTAATTTACGACCAAATTACGGAGTTGCTAAGTCTTATTAAGGATTTTAATGGTCTCATTATTATTCTGATAACAGGAGCTTTAATGGATCATTCACAGGTATGCATAATTTGTCGTTCTGCTGAACTAGTGAGTCGTATTGTTTCTTAATTATTTTTCTAAAAAGGATACTGGCATTAAGTGAAGCGCCGCTCGTAGCTCTGGCAACCGCCGCGAGAATGAATGGTGTCACTTCTTTGCCAAAAGTTCCGTTCCGATCAGCTTCCTTGAGTGCACTATTAATTGCTTCTTCTATTATTTTCTCTGTGAACAATATATAAATGTATATCAATCAATACATTTAAGGTAACTTAAGGGATTACTGGAGCTGGATAGTCGATCGTTGAAGCGTTTAGATTAATTTTTCTTATTTGATTACCTATAAAAAAATATTATATTTTTTAGAAATTGTTCTAAATTGTATTACTTACTATTTATCTAGAAATGTGTTCAATTCAGTTATCACAGTAAATGGTCCTTCGCATTCTTTAATTTAAGGTTTATAGTAAAAGTTACCTCATTTCTTTACCGTCTGCTAGTCGGGTTAGTTTAGTTTTTATACTTTTTATTATTCATCGCTGCATAATCGGAATAGCGCATAATGAGCAGCTTTAGAACAATCTCGATAAATTATGAAATACGTTGTACAGTTGTGATTTTTACAGGAATAAAGATTGTTTGCACTTTTAAATTGTTAGTTTTCACGGTACTTTTCTTTGTCTTGCATATTTTATAGAAAAGCTAAATAACTTTCAGACCCACATGGTCTTAAAGTTAGTATAACTGGGATGGTATACTTATCTAAACAGTCTGATATAGGTCGTATCACAAAACTCCGAACTAATGATTAAAACAAGACATAAATATGTAGAGAAAACTGTTATAAAATGTAACAAATGTAGGATAATGCAAAAAGTCTAGCTTTTTTTTAAAGAATTTCCTACCATCCATAGCATACTCCTGTGGCACCGGTACGGCTACAACGATCCCGGACGCGAGTTCCAATTGGCGTGCTGCGTGCAACACGCGTGCAGCTTGCTGTGCGTCGCCCACGCGGTGTGGAGCTGTGAAACCTGACCGCGCGGTATAGAACGCCGGAAAGTCTGACGACTCACCGAACGCGCAAACGCAAACCCCTTGTGTTTCCTGTAAATGAGGAATGTTTTTATATACCAAATTGTTAGACACAAAAATGTTTACGGTGCTTCTTTTTAAAGTCGTTTATATAAATTTTAATGCCAATACTGTTGCATACTGTGTTGCGCAAACAATAACTTCTCCCAACTATGTATTCCAATGGTCACCTCAGCGCATGTGGAAGTTTTCTATCTTCTATCGATAACTGAGTAGATAAATCTATAATTTTATTCGTTAAAGTAGAGCTCTTGGAAGCAGTTACATTTGTTATTTGCTTAGTAACCAGCTTCCCTCGGGCATATCTTAGAATATACGCTGTAGCCTAGCGACCTGGATACTGTGTTTTTATTTAACTAAGTAAGTAAAACAGAAATAATATGACGGTACGAGAATTTACTTTGTTCTGATTTTGAATCAAAAAGCGCCTTGAGCACGGCACGGTCGACAAAAGGACAGTCAAGTGGGAATCGCCCAAGTAAAAATGAAGTATTTTATATTCTCCAATTATTTATCTACATTGTACTGTTCACGTCATAAAACACTAGAGACAGAAAAATCTTTTATCTTTATGTGCGATCCAGTACCGAGGATTGGTTAGTTGGAAACTGACCAGCTACGAAGTTGTCTCGCTTTGCAAAGCCATATGCAATATCGAGAGCTTATGTATTTACCAAGTATTCGAGAGTTCGTCCAATGTCTAATATAGATTTAACGCCACTGCAAACGACGAGGGTATTGCTGCGTCCCAGTTCGTTCAGATCCGCCGATATGTCCAATGTGTTCTCGCCGTGACGATGCACACCACCTGCGAGAAATAATCTATATTGGCAATATACCTATTCGAACTTAAAATGTTGCATGAAAACATTTGATACTAAGAAATTGCGAAAAGGGAATCGCGAAAAGGGAGAGAAAAAATCTCTATTTAAAACACACTGAAGTTTAGTTATAAATTGTTTAAAAGAACTGCCGTTCGAAAATATTTGTCTTGAATGGTTTCAAGCGTACAGAGATTGGGGAAAACCAGATAAAAGTTTCTCGTAAGTATCTATAACGAATCGATATGAGAAAAGTGCTGAAAAGTCAAAATTACAAATGTCCCCGATTGTGTGAGTGTAATAAAACGTCGGGAAAGTATTTTGGCCGGGCTACGGGAAACTGGATTATTACATCACTACTGGTGGGAAAGATACGTAGTTGGTAGATGTACACCGTGCTCCGACATAGTTTTGTACAATGTATGTATAAGTAAACTGCATGTAATGTGTACGCTCCACCATTCTGCAATTCCAAAACATGTGAGTAAATTGTTTCATTGCAATCGGAAAATATTTGTTTATTGTGTACTTAATAACAAGGTTTCCCTTATCCCTCAAAAAAGGGATACACAAAAAAACAGTGGTAACAAATAATTTTTCGCATATTTAAACGCATAATTGCTTGTGATAGAATTTAAAGATACCGACCCTCTCTATTATTATTTTTCTTGAAAGTTTCTCTAGTAATTAAATATTAGACACTGTTGGACAGTATCTTATTTAAATATTTATAACAACAAACGGAATATTATTTCACTCGAAGTAATCTTATTTCAAACAAATGTTCCCATATCCTCATCAATATCAATACATCTCCGTACAAGGATAAAACATGAAAAATGTGAATAAAAGAAGACACTCTTATTAAATCAGAATACGTATTTCCATTAATATTTTTATGTTTTCAAGTAACATACGGAGATGGCAATTATTATACCGACGTGAATAAGATTTATATTCCATTATGTTCGCCGCAGAATAGAACCACGCTTCGAGCTAGGAAAATAAAGAAAACAACTAGGTATTATAAAAATGCAAGCTCAGTTTTAGAATTCACTGGGTGCAAGTAATATTTACATTATGATTTACGTCTTTTGGATAAAATGCATTCAAATGATCAGTCTTTCAGAAAAGAGTAGACTTGCAAAGCTTGGTCCGCGGTGCCTTTATAATAAATCGACTTAGATACGATAACGACGACGCAGTGGCCGTTGGGTCGCCATTTTGGCTTTGCCACGCCAAACCCTGCCTTAGTGCCGATATAGCGTAATCCTTTTGTATCCATCGTTTCGTGAAGGTATTGGAAGACATTTGCCTGTTTCTTGCGAAACTTTATCCAGACAGGCGTTAATTCAAATCGTCGGGACCGGAATGAGACTGCTTCTAACGATAATTTACAAACCCAAGCACTACGACTGCTTATCTAGAAGGTGATAAATCGCGCTCTGTTTCACGGAATTCGTTGTTAATTACATCGCCAGTTCGGCATGGCCACGATGCGACTGGCAGTAATGAATGCGCCGGCAAAGCGTTGAATCCAACCGTGATATCGTTGAAATTCATTTGTGAATTTCACGAGCACAGTTAATTGAAGTGTTTGCGGTGTTTTCACGATGATTGCTACTATTTGCGAGTCGTGACTTAGCACTGCCTTGTACCGGAGTGGCGTGATAGTACTTGTTTACACTCGTTAGTAACGCGTTCACTGCAAGCCGTTTCAAACAACTGAATAAAACACTTTAAATGTGAACAGCGTCGAGTTTCATACGATTTTGGATCCTTTAATTAAGATTGTCGTTTATTTAAATAGGAGTCATAAACAGGTTCATTAAGTGTGAGTATTGCGAGACATTAACGTAAGAGCTATGAAAAATTTAATTCACATTGTTATCTACATCATTTTATAAGTCGCAGTAATTTCGCTGACAATTGTAACAAATTGGAGTACCATGACATGAGACGCGATATTAAGAAACTTTGTTCCGGAAATTGTTTGGTATAGACGTATAGGAACGACATTACTGTGTATATGTATCTATATTCTGCAGCAAGAACTTATTTAGAGGCCTTGACCAAGGATTAAGACATTGAAGGTAATTTTGTAACGTAAGCTTTTGCATGTCATCAGTCCTCTTTCATTTTATTAATATCTTACTTATTTGTTACAAACAATATTGTTAAACAATCTTAACCCGAAAGGTACGTGGTTCCGTACACGATAAGCATGTCTGCACCATATTATCAACATGGTTGCCTTTAGTAGTATGCAATAATGGTGACCGCTTACGCAACGGAATGTCTGCTAACAAGTGCTTTTACCCGAGCGGATACTATACAGCTTGTGGTCCTTTTATGTGTAGCACATGAAGCTATTTGTAAGAGCCTGTTAGCTTGTTAGCAACTTAATACCTCGACCTAACGAATGCATTGTAATTTATACTAAACTAAGTTGGTGAAACATTTTTAGCATTTCGTGGTTGGTGGAGGTTTCATATTGATCAATTTTTTTAGAAATAATATGCATAATAAGCATAATATAACAACTTATACTATAGCTATCTGGATGCTGGTAAGAGATTTAAATAAAAAAAACTAACGTTATCGTGTTGTTTGATGCTAGACTTAAATCTAGGCTCGGGTTCAATAGAAATTTGTAAACAATTTGTACCGAAGTAACAAAATATACCAACAACAAGAGTACAACGAGTACAATGAACGTAGTGTTGGAGTACAACGAATAAGATACTAATTAATTTATACGAACGAAAAAAAGGGTTAACATTTATATCAAGTCAAAAATAAAGCACTGGATTCATGTATCCCCAGCGATTTCATTGAAGATCACTTTTAGAGACGTGATGAAATATTTTACTGTAATTAAATAACGGCCAAACGGGTTCAATCCACGCTTCATTTCCCAGGACATTAAAATGTTGCAGGTTATCTAATAAAACAGAGTTTAGAATTGAATTAGCAGTAGGTAACATAAATAGGATTCCTTGTAAGTTCAGATATATTAAGAGAGTAGGGTTATACAACTTCGCATGTGTGATTTGAAATAATATGAATAAGATAATGCTGGTATAGTGCGTGTGGGTACATACAACATACCTATGCCACCGGTTACGAATACAGGTATATCAGCAAGCTGTGCTGCGATGATGGTGCCAGCGACTGTGGTGGCCCCGTCCAGCTTGCCAGCGGTGATTGGAGCTAGGTCCCTGCGGGAGGCCTTCACCACTCCCTTGGCCTGAGCTAGGTACGTCAGCTCATCCTCAGACAATCCAATACTCAGTTGACCTTTTAAAATAGCTACCGTAGCTGGTACTGCACCCTGTATAACACAAATAATAAATTTCAACATTCCCAAGGATGAAGCTAAGGAATCTAAAAAGATAACTAAGTGCCCGTATTTACGCAAGTCTGTTTAATTTAAAAAACACTTTAAATGGGAAGACATTTTTTAGCGAAACATTTAAATAGAAAACTTTATCTCGAGCGTAATTACGAAAGGCCTGCAAAGCACTAGCGCTCGGTTATCATATCGTAAATGAGGCTACGGACTGATACTTAACTAGACTTTTATAAGATTTTTCAACTTACCCTTTCTCTAATGATATTCTCAACTTGCTTGGCTGTTTCCAAATTCTGAGGGTAAGGCATACCATGAGTAATGATCGTTGACTCCAGGGCGACAATCGGCTTACCCTCTGACTTGGCCCGGCGAACCTCTTCAGAGAAAACGAAGGGGGAGGCTGTGCCATACCCCCTCTTATAAAACGCAACCAGGCGTGAACCTCTCAATACGTACTTGGCTAGGTAAGGCATCTCGATACCTAAAAATAGAACTCAGTTCATTAGTGAATGCTAAAAATATATGGAGTGGTATTTAAGAGGAAACGAGCGAGATATAAATCGAGAGCACAACTATTATTCGATTCCGAGGAACCGTGTTGTTGTTGACCTTGCTTTCTGTCACAGGCAGGAGCTTAAATGTAGTTTCAGCAAAGTTCACTTAACAGCGATTGTGTCGCGAATAGGAATTCATTCGTTAGCGAAAACGGTCTCCATTTAGATACATTTCGAAGTACAGAATCCGAATAAACTTCGCGAGAAATATATAATTATTTCGGTATTTCTAAACATGATATAAACATACTTTGTGCTAACTTTTATAGAGCAAATCGCCTTTATCAAAAGTTGATACATTAAAGTTAAACATAACGATTGGAATTATACAGACACCGAAGGAAATTATACATGCATGAGCGCCCATGACACAGGACTACGAAAATGGACGGGCAGCGCGCAGCGCCGCGTACTTCGACACTTTTGATGAAGGCTATCTATCGGTCTGAGCACATTAATCAACGTACGACACGGGTCCCTCGCATCTCACCTGTGACGTCTGACATTGTGGCTAATATAACACCGTCATTATACCCCACACCCTCGGGATTCGGGTTTAGACAATGTTCGTACCTACTTATTCTCTTTGTATGTGTGTATGTATTATATGATACTTATGATAGCAATTTGAATTGAAGATGTTGTTTATTACTCTACGACCTTAATACCTAGAACAAAATTAACTTTGTAATTGTTTTATTTATTTAGTGACTAGCTGTGCCCGCGACTTCGTTCACGTGGTTTAGTGATTTACTACGCATACTCCGTAGGTGCCGTTAATAGTAATTATACAAAATTTGAAGTAAATCCATGCAGTACTTTTTGAGATTATCCCGGACATACATACAGACAAACTGACAAAAATTTTAAAACCTACATATTTGGCTTCAGTATCGATTGTAGATCACGCCCCAAGTATTTTTTTAGCGCGGAGGCACGTCGCCGGGGCGAAACTCCGCTGCCGCGTCAGATAAGTGCGTGGCGGGATGAGCTCCGGCGCGATCTCATGGCGGAATGGCAGCAACGACTGTCGCAACTGAGGGCTGGGCTCGCTGCCATCGCAGCGGTAAGTCCCCTCTTTGAGGAGTGGCTTGAGAGACGCTACGGCGTCCTCACCTACCGCCTGACGCAGGTCCTCACCGGACATGGAAGTTTCGGGAGGTACCTGTGTCTGATGGGGCGGGAGGAAACGCCCGGGTGTCATCACTGCGAGGACCGCCCTGAGGACACGGTGGAACACACGGTCGGAGAATGCCCTTCGTGGGCTGAGCACCGCCGTGTCCTCAGGGAAGTGATCGGCGATGGCGACCTCTCGCGTCCGGGCCTAGTGCAGGCCATGATGCGGAGCGAGGGGGATTGGGATGCCGTCTCCTCCTTTTGCGAAGCAGTCATGCTAGCTAAGGAGGAGGCGGGACGCGTGAGGCAGCGAAGCGCTGCCTCCTCGCAACCCAGCCATCGCGAAGGACACACCGGGCGTCGGGGATCGCGGGACGATCTCCGGCCACCGTAAGCGCGGGCCTGCGGACGGCGAGCATGGGTGGCTCCCCGTCCGACCAGAAACAGACCCGAGCGTACGGCGCGTCGCGTTCCGCGCGCGCCTCAAAGAGCCATCAGACCACCACAGATGGGGCCCAATAGGGCCGATGCCGATTCGGAGTCGCGGAGAACCTAACGGGTAACCGGGGCTCCGGCTCGACGTGCAGGAGAAGGAACGGGGTGGTTTTTAGTCAGTAAGAGTCTGACACTCCCTCCCGCCTCACCCAGGCGGGGGCAGTCATTCGATGATTTTCCCCCCTTAAAAAAAAAAAAAAAAGTATTCTTTTAAAAAAATATTCAATGCACAGTTTTAAATTTTCTACGATTTTATTATAGATTCTATTTATGTTTTCTTAAAGTCGTGAATGACTTCGTACATAACAAACCATTATCAACTGAATCACCTATAACTAATGAAGTAGGTTGGTTGTCATATCTGATAGACAGCAATATTTACGGAGGGTACATTATCGCGCGACAGTCATTTTTTAATTCAAATTTGATTGTACGCATGTGCAGTAATAACATTGACTATACAGGTGGCTACGGAGTTGGCGACGTTCTATGCAATGACAGGAACCAGGAATCATTGATTTTTGTAACTACAAAGGTCCTTTCCAAGGAGCACGATAATTTATTATTGCCTAGCAACGATTTGTTTATAATTTTAACAGTTGTTTACCTAACAACGGAGTTGTCATATTTTGCTCATTTTATCGAAGGCAGTTTTTTCGTAATATTTTCCTCTTTAGTTTGGGTTTTTATAAAGCTTCGTTATTTATTCACATCGACTTAACGTCTTCTGTATTCTATTTTAGGTAAGAATTTATTATTTTGTACGTTATACCCACCTATGTCGGCATTTACCACGTTCGTGCATTTCTGAGGAAAAATAATTTCATTACGCTGCGAACATTGTATGGCAATCGGGGCTCAACTTCAAAGTAACATGCTAAAAATAACGTTATTCACTTTACATAGAATTCGATTTTCTGTCTTATTATTAACAAACAAATTGTTTGATTTATTTTATAGTTGGTTCATTTTCATTCATAAACATAAGTGCTTTTTTTCTATTTCTAGCACAGCTAGTAAATCCTCATAGCTTTTTTATGTTTAAATCCCTGTGATTACCAGCACTATTAAAAAAAATATACACTACGAAGCACGTGAGAGTATTGCTTCTAAATATACTTGGGATCACCTGATCACCGTCTATGCTATGCTAGTATATTATAGTGATATAGTCGAAAAGTCTGTTCGATACCAGACGGCTCCACGATATTCGATTTACAAAATCGTTGGATTACTTCATTTCCTGCGTGCGTATCTCAGGAATTGCGTGATGCGTGAACGAGATATCATTGGCTGAAGGTGGTTTAGGCTCACGGAGCACATCGCTTATTTGACTACGTGCTACGTGCTTGTCACGTCGTACACGTTGTTGTACAATACATTTATTTACGTGGTGTTCAGGTTCGGATTACAAGTTTGGGGTTTTTGTTTATGAGTGTGTGCCTTCAGGATACGATCTCCAAAACGGATGTATTGATTTTAGACTTAGGGCCTATTTTTCAATGCTCAGTTAATTTTTATCAGAGGAATGACTTTGATTATTTGACAATTCTTCCTTCATACTCAATTCGAAACACGTGCCCTTGAACATTGAAATATATCTGGTTAACTTACAATACTCATTCATGCATTGTTAAGCTAAGTAAATAGTATATTTCGCAATCAAAATATTCCCAAGCGACATAGATTAGGAAGTGCTCGACGCAGATGGAGTTTGTGTAGATTTATCTAGTACGGAGTAGCGCGGGCTTACAGTACGGGAATGTCAGCAAACAACGACAGTTGGTTCCGTTTAGAGGTACTTGCAGACAAAGACGGTGTTGCTTAGCATGGAACGATCTGGAATGTTCTATTGTGCTGAAGTAAATGATATAAATTATTGTTAGCTATCGTTCGTATTTATTATGAAGCTAGCTAATATTTTTCTGTAATCTATGTATTTACTATTGTACTATACAATTAAATAATGAATTAATTGTTGAGACCAAATCTTCCACCACATATTTTCACAAATATTTAGCCATGAACAAATAACATTGTACATATCAACCTAAGCCTTATTATATTACGCAAATATGTATTATAACGTAAATAGCTAAGTAGCTGAAACTTATATGCGTACATCGTACTAACAAGATACATTGTTAAAGCTCACTATGGCCTGGGGACTTCCAAAACTGCCGGGTCTGACGTTCTCAGACCCGACTAAGACACAATATCATATGCGAAGTTCGCTGCGGTACTACCAGGGGCACAGGTTCCCTGATACCGAGATCCGAGGCCCGGGGGGCACCGCCACAGATGTTGACAGCAACGCCTTCGCTCTCCCCGAGGACACCGTCAAGTAAGTCAACAAGAATTAACAACTAGTCCAAGATCAACACGATGTTTAGTGTGCCGATCTCCGATAATTTTCGAGTTGACGGCATGTCTATAGTGTGTAGTTCTTTAGACTTAAAGGATGGTTCGATGCTAGTTGATTAAGTAGTATGTAATCGTAATAGTTTAGTATCGTATTCAGTTTATTGTGTAAATATTCTAGACAGAGTTAGATTTGACTCACATGCACTGCTAAAACAGAAACAAAACTAATATCGTTTTTCTAAAATCATGTAAATATGTTCTAAACTTGTGTAGTTAACACAAGTTTAGAAGAAGAGAGTCCTGTTAAGGTACAGGTCATTGTACTTATGTTTCAAGTATAGGAAAACCGTCGAGTGTCGTGTCGCTGCCAAAAATATCCATTCTTTGATAGCTTAATTATTTGGCAATGATCCACCAAGTATTGGAGTGACTCCCGCGCCTAGGGTCATCCTTTGGAAGTTCTTAGAATGTCTGACGCAAACAAATTGCTAATGTCGATGACCTAGCGTAGATTACACTCAATCAAGTACCTACTTGTGTTTGAGCAATGAGAACCCCGGGGTTCGCATTATCTGGAACAAGGTGGATAGAGAATGTAGATGACTAACCTTCTACTTATAACCTAGGTTATCGAAATAAATCATTATGTCTGCTTATGAATAGGTACCATTTACAAATTTAAGTAAAATCATATCTGTAAGTTTTCTTTATAGAATAAACCGATAAACGAGTAGACGGATTACCTGATGGTAAACAGTTGACTAGGAATTTTAGCATTGTTGAGAATTTGAGGATTAAGGATATTGGGAAGGGGACTAATTAGGCCTCCGGTAACCTCACTCATACGACGAAACACAACGCCAGTTTTGTTTTATATCGGTTTTGCAAGAGATCGTGGTGTCACTCCCGTCGATCCAGCCCATTTGTGCCGAAGCATGGCTCTCCTACACTT